TATAATTCTGTGGAAAAAGCAACTGCAATTCAGTCACAACATTCCCACACCCTGGTGATCCAGCCCTGAAGAGCCATGTGATGGGTAGTAGGCCTGGAAACCAGAAGTCATAAGGCAGGACCTGAAGAAATGTTTGTTAACTTCAACAACCTAATTTTATACACCTTTTCCTTTCTCCGCAAGAAGTCCTACCACATTTGACTTAAATATTGTCTATGTATGCCAAGAGCTATGAAGGGGACACAGGAAGACAAAGGACCACCAGCAACTCCAGACTAAAATTCCACAACTTCAAACTCTATATGGAAATGCAGTCATTGGGGCAGATTTATTGCACTGAAATCTCTAGATATTGAGTTTGGGAATGTTAACATCTCAAAAACTACTAGTTGATTATATATGATGCATCATTCTAACAACCACTGCCCTGGAAAGAGGTCCTATAAGAATCATTCAAACAAGAATTAGCCCTTGGAGTTCCCACAGGATTATGGAAATATAAAAATCAGATGTCTTTTCAAAGTTCCTAACCTTCAACATGCCAAAACAAAACACCCTTTTAAAATGGGTGGGTGGGGGGGTGGAAACACACACATTTGTTTCAAGATTAAGTGTGGGAGATGTAAGTGAATGCTACTTTTTTTTTTCAAAGTCTGCATCACACTTCACACTTACTCCATCACTACCTGTTTTACCAAGATGATTATTAATGCTTGGTAGTAATTAAGAATCTTTAGGTTGAGGTGGAGAGATGACTCAGTGGTAAAGAGCACAGACCTGGGTTTCGTCCCCAGCACCCACATGGAAGCTCACAACCATCTAAACTCCAGCTCCAGGTGATCCAATGCCCTCTTCTGGTCTCCATGGGCACTGCACACATGTGGTACACACACACACACACGCAGGCAAAATACTCATACACATCAAGACAAACAAATAAATTCACTTAATAAGTGAGAATTAGAATTTTACAGAATAACATAGTTTGCTTAATCAAACCAAACTACTATGCCAGAATTCAGATGGCTGAAAACCTAAATTTTGTGGCAAAGAAATGTATTTTCACACAGAGAATCCATCTACATACATCTCTACATTTCTGAAAAGTTCTTAGTTTCCAATAAGGTTATTTTCCAGAGAGGGATGGAAAGGAAGGAGGTAGTGGGAAGAAAAGTAACTTTTGCAAGCATAAGACATAGAATAATCTCTAAGATTCAAATCACATTTGACTTTGGCCTTCTATAGCCCTAGCTATTAAAATACCCTCTCATTTTACATTTAGTTACTGGACTAGGGTTTTATTGTTTTGTTTACATGCATGCAAATGTGAGTGCGTGTGTGCATTGTGTGTATATTTATACACACACACACGCACACATGGCATGGCCTGGATGCCAGTGTGCATATGGAAGTCTGAGGACAATTTGTGTAACTCAGTTCTCTTTCTGCCACATGGGTTCTAGGGATCAAATTCAGATAGTTGGACTTGGCAGAAAGTGCCTTTACTTGCAAAGCTATCTCACCAGCCTCTAGACTGGGGTTTTAAAGAGATTGTTTTCATTAAAATCAGTGGATTTGGATGGGAGTGGTGGTGCATGTCTTTAATCCCAGCACAAGCAGGTAGATATTTGTGAGTTCAAGGCCAGCATGGTCTACATAGTGAGTTCCAGGCCAGTAGGCAGGTGGATCTCTGTGAGTTCAAGGCCAGCCTGGTCTACATAGTGAGTTCCAGGACAGCTGGGGCTACAGAAAGACTCTGTCTCAAAAAGACCAAAAATGAAACCCCTCAATAAAAGTTTTTTTAAAAAAACAAAAATGTGGCCAGGCATGGTAGCAACATGCCTTTAATCCCAGTACTCAGAAGGCAGAGGTAGGCATATTTCTGTGAGTTCCCCAAAAGTGTCAAGACAGCAAAACATGGGCCTGGAATGGAGCTCAGTGAAGAGTGCTTGCCTAGCATGCATGAGGCCCTGAGTCCCACCCCAGTCCCAGTCCAGGGAGGGAGGGAGAAAGGGAGAGTGACTGCGTATGTTGAGCTGGAAATAATTTTTCTTTTTAACATTAAAGTTATGAAATGGGGTGTTTACTCTTAATTTTACACTTTAGGTTTTATGTCTTCCAAAAAAACAACAAAACAGAAACCTATAATCAAGTCTGACCCATCTATCTATTCAACACGAAAAACAAGTTTCAAGAAGTTGAATTGGGATACATGACATACGTGGCAGGGGAAAGGATGGGGGAGAGTCTAAATTTGATTAAGAACTGGTGTATGAAATATACAAAAAAAAATTTTTAAGAGGGCTGGAGAGATGGCTCAGCAGTTAAGAACACTGGCTGCTCTTGCAGAGGACCCAGGTTCGAATTCAAGCACCCACATGGCGGCTAACTTCAGTTCCAGGGAATCCAAGACCCTCTTCTGTCCTCCGAGGGCATTGTGCAACATGGGTGCACTTACATACATGCAGGCATAACACTCACACACACAAAATAGAAATAGTTTAAATTTTTTTAGTTGGTTTGCATTTATTAACCTTCAACCCATCTCCTAACAACTGTGACAAGTTAAAAGATGCAGCACACTCCAACCTACTTCCATGCCAGTTGTTTTTCTCTCAGATCTTGACATCTGCAATATAAACATGTCAGTGAGGTCAAGATGGTGATAAAATATTCTGAATCTTAGACTGGGTTTCCAAAGGAAGCACAGCAGGTTAACTTTCCAGCTACACAACTTTATAAACAAAATACATGCCAGCATGTTTTCTACATAGATACGGATACTGATAAAATAATGAATGGTACACTATAATCTAACAATTGAACTTGAAATAATATGCTAATAGCTCATGACTATCTGACTTAACCACTAAGCAATTAAAATGACACAATGGTGATTAAAAACTCTAAATTCCAATGTTTACTATAGACCATAACACAAGCTGTAATCAAATACTTCTTATAAAAAAAATAAATTACAGGCTGGATGTGGTGGTGCATTCCTTTAATCCTAGCACTTGGGAGAAGCCCAAGATGGGGCTACAGAGTGACCCCATCTCAAGAACAAATAAACAAAAATAAAAATATATTACTCTGCTTCTTTTGCAGGCCAAAGAAATGACTGGTTAAGAAAGAATGGGACTGGCTTCTACCCTCTCCAGTTTCTTCCTCTCAAAGATAGTCAAGAGGAAATGAAGTATGCAGTCTTATTAAGGGTGACCTTGTAACTCAACCTTCAAATTAGGATTTTTGAGAGTGCATGTAAGCTAGGGAAGCAGAGCTGTTCCCATCAAATTCAAGATATTTGCCACTTATGTAGAGTATCAGATTCACTGTCATTACAACCTGTACTTTTTTAAACAGTACATAGTTTGGGGGTGGGGGGAATGAACAGGAACCGCTTACTTTTTCTTCAATTAGATATTCTGGACTCTGTGCATTGTGAAAGGTTTAACTGAAAATATTTGTGGTGCAGAGGTATAATTTCATCCGCTTGGGCAGCTGAGTCAGGAAGATGGCAAACTCAAGAATTTCCTCAGCTACTTTGTGTGATCAGGGCCAACGTGGGCAACTTAATGACACCCTGCCTCAAAATTTAAAGTAAAAAGAGGGCTGGAGGTATAGCTCAGAAGTACAGTGCTTGCCTAGCGTACATGACGTCCTGGATTCAATCCCCAGTACTGCTCAAAATCAGAAGAAAAATGGAAAAAAAAAAAAAAAAAGAGGAAAAAATGTATGTGATTATCACTTTAACAACTAATATTTATGAACTACTTCAAAGACCTGTCTAAAATGGGACATATCTTACAGGCTTAAAATAATTGGTTAGAGATTAGTGGGTTATCTTATGAAGCAGACATTCAGTTTACCTTGGTTAATAGAATTCATGGTTTACCTTTCAATTCCTAATCTCTGTCCTAATACACTATATAGAAAAACACATTTTGCTATCAAACAGTCTATTGTGCCAGGTGTGGTGGCACACACCTTTAATACCAGCACTTGGGAGGCAGAGGCAGGTGGATCTCTGTTGAGTTCAAGGCCAGCCTGGTCTACACAGTAAGTTCCAGGACAGCTGGGGCTACAGGGAGACCCTGTCTCAAAAAGACCTCCCCCCCAAAAAAGTCTATTGTATAACTACATAAAAATGGGTTATCCTACTCATAAGCTTATTCAAATGCAATAAAAAATAAGACACTTTTGCAATAACTTCCAAGTCCTGGTTCATATTCACTTAAAATTATTTAGACACCCTAATATGGGTTTTGATTTTCAACCTTTAAGGTAGCACATAAAAGTGGTGAAGGTTGGTCATTCCCCCTACCCCAACACAACAGTTGTTGAAACTCACAGGAAATGATGTATGCAGGATTTGACAAATCTCAAAAAGAATACTAAGTTTTTAGAAATAACACTGGGATGATCCTGCTTGGATGATGCAATTTACGGTTACCATCAAATATTGAAATCAGAAAGGATTAGATAATGTACATTTGAACCTTACAGATTTAGGGGAGAAGTCAAAACAAAGGGTGAAGTTCTGTTACTAGATCAAAAGTGGCCAACCAGGCTTAGAAATCAAAAACAAATACTGTAAAAACTAAAATGAAATTTTAATTGTTGTTTGACAGCTGAGCTTCCCCGTAGTTTAAAATTACCATGTACAATTTCATTTCATTTAATGAATCTTCAACTTCACTTAAAATTATTTAAAGAATAATAGGAAGTGGAGAGGAAATTGAAATCCATCCTGAGTTTCTAAATGTTCTTAGTGTATTTTCAAAATTAGACAACTAGTTAAATATTGTCTTCTCTACCCCATGCTATTGCTTTATTTCAAGGGGTATTAACAAATGCACTTTGATCAACAATAAAAATTTCTCAAGGAAAATAAAGCGAATTAGGGAAAACAAAATTTTAGGAGGCTCAATTAGCAAACAATACTATGTTTTATTTATTAGACAATGAAAAATGATAAAATACAAGAAATACAACAGAAGTAATAAAACATAATACATTTTATTTTTTTTTCAAAAATGGAAAAATGGCCCTGGTTAATGTACTTTTTAGTTATAGTCAGTGTCTAACAATCAATTTTATATGTTCTATATAACTATACGCAATGATTTTTATGTTTAAACAGTAACGTAATTTCCACCATCTTTAATGTTGGCACTGGCATTCAAAAGCAAAGATAAAAATGAAAAGAAAAGCAGGTGAGACACAAAATGATTTGCAAGATGCCAAGCAAGCATAGTAGTGAAAGCAGATTCCAGTTGAGTAATGGTTGCACACTCTTAGCACATACACACCCACAGCCTGATACTCCACAGATAACATTTCCATAATATGAAAACAGGTATTTTGAGTTTCTCAATTCAGGTTATGCTTGCTTGCTTTCTCTTCTTTCTTTTCCTTCCTTTCTTTCTTTCTTTCTTTCTTTCTTTCTTTCTTTCTTTCTTTCTTTCTTTCTTCTCTTTCTCAAATTATTTTACAGTCATAAACCAAGGTGCTAGTAACAGAACAGATTTTATTTGCTAATCTTAACAAATTAAATATTTAAAGAAAAAATTATTACAGTGATATTCAAAGATAATTTTATTAGCTTTTTAAAGGACAAATGCAAATGAGAATCTTATTTGGTAAATCAATTTTTAATTGCCTTAAGTGAAATAAATATAGTATCTGGTACAATATCTTCATGTAAGACTCTCTACAGTGGGCAATCCTAAAATCCAAGCTTCTCATTTGAAGAATCTCTAAAACTGGTATTGTTGCTTAAATTTTTTTTTTTCTTATAAAGGACATCTGGCATACTCACATTTTCTTAACGTTTGTCCTAAACCACTATCTTTAACAAAGTTTCTGTATATATTTAGTTTACTTAACTTAAAATTAATGAAAAGCTACCTAGACACAATATCTAATAAAAGAATGTAAAAAGTAACTTATGTTTATTTACAGAAGTATTCCATAAACTTCATATATAATGAAGAATATTTCATGTGTAAAATTACTAGATGAATCTAAAAGCCAGAAACTAAAGCATCTGACAAGATTAATAATGTAATTTTTATTATACTAATGGTCAAGTCAGAAGCATTTACATGCTGGAAGACTGTTTATCACTCAACTCTTTCAATTATATCAAACACTGATTAACCAAATGTGACTAGACTTTACTGCTACAACTTTACGGTTTCTTTCAAGTAGATACAAATCGTTTAAATAGGCACATATGCAAATGTGCAAAACAATTGATATACAAATAATTAAGGAATGAACAGAAATGGCTTTTGAAAGCATAAACCACCCTGCTGTGTAATTGTGAAGCTCCACCTTTCATTAATTTTTCTTCTTATATAGTAGTCTTCTATCCTATTAAAGTTGTAGGCTTATAGATGACATGGAAATTTCACATTGGTATAAGAAAGGAATGTTGGGTTGATGCAGTCTAGAGACAAAAAAAGAATTAGTCTTATAATGTGTTAAGTTACTTATCTAAATCATACAGCAATAAGCAGCATTATATTAAGTATATCACATTCCTTGGACAAAGATAAAGTGGTTGATAATGATATATTCTAAAATATAAAGTTATTATATAAGACCTTCATATCTTCTTCAATATTAATATTACATTTGACTCTTAAAACGGCACACAAAATAATGACACTACTCAAAAGAGTACTGTTCCAGCTAGTAAAAGTTTTGCTTTTTATCTTCTTGCTTATGCTTCCTTCTTGATATTACTGTCCACAAAGATATTTTAATGACTAAAAATAAAATTTTGTAATCTTCTGAGAATGGGGGCATCTTAATGGAAAACTTAAAATAATACTTTCATATAATCCAGAAACACATTTATATGTTATTCTTCAGCAGAAATAAGTATATATTCTTATATGTAATCCATGAATGCTATAAATAAAATTAAAATCACAAATCATGTAATCTATTTAGGAGTGCAATCTTCCCCCAATACCTACTGTGGATTGGTTTCAGGACCTTCCTCCAACACCAAAATCTTCAGAAGCTCAAGTACTTTAGATAAAATGGCACAGTGTTTACACGTAGCCTGTATGTATGCACTGTAGGTACATCATCCGTAGACTAATCGCAATACTTAATACAACATAAAAGCTACATAAATGGTTGTCACACTGTATTGTTTGAGCAATGGCAAGGGTAAAATGTCTGTATGTGTTTAGTATGGATGCAATTTTTCTTTTCCAAATCACAGGTATTGACTATACTTACTTACAGTATCCTCAAAATACTTTGTCCTATGGTTCTACATTTGGAAATTAAGTGGTTTAGTGGATATTCTATCAGTTCAAATACTTTAAAACCTTAAATCATTTATAAAGCATATAGCACCTGTTTTAAAAATACTAGTAAACAAATGAAGTCTCTTTAAATGAAGATACTCCTGGCTGTGAAATAACGCTAACTTTGTAAACAGCTTCCAGAAACTTCCTGGTAACTGTTAAGTGAATCTCTGCTCATTTCTTCATTTTCTCACTTATTCAAGTTGCAGCTCTCATCACTGACACAAATGATATATGTAAAGAAACCAGCAACAAAAACTGTTTTCTTCACATAACTTCTAACCCTTAACCCATATAGCTGACTGTGTGACAAACTGTATTTCAACTATAAATTTGTGGGCATTTTATTTTTCACCAGATGTCTACACAGACTTTACACTGTGTTTTGCAGAATGCTCTTCTACGTAAGTGTTTGCTTTTCAAAGTCTTCAATTTTGTGCTACTGCTTACTTCAAACATATCTGTGGTAAGTCATGAGAAAGAAGTTTAGAAAGTATAATTTCAAGTTTTATCTGGGCATGGTGATACATGACTGTAATCCTACTACTCAAGAACCAAGTTCAGGAAGATTCCAAGTTTAAGGCAAGCCAGGGCTATATGTAACCCTGTCTCAAAAGACCAAGCTTGGGCTAGGGCTGAAGACATGGCCCAGCAGTTAAAGATCATGCACTGTTCTTGCAGAAGACCCAAGTTCAGTTCCTACCACCCATGTCAGGCAGCTCACAATAGCCTGATCTGATGCCTCTGGCCTCCACCAGCACCTGCACTCATGTGCACATACTCAGACACTCACACATGCACATAAATTAAAAATTAAAATCTTTAAAAAAGAAGACGGTCAAGGACTGGTGAAGTAGCTCAGTAGTAAAGTACTTGCTGGCATGTGCAAAGTACTAGACTTAATCCCTAACACCACAAAATAAATGTAGTTTTGGTTTATTCATTTTGTGCTTAAAGTTAAAATTAATGAAATTAAATTTTAAAAATGTAGTTATCTAAAAAGGCTAACAATTTACATTTCAATAAGCTATTAGCAGTATAAAATATTATATACACTAACTTTTGAGTAAAAATTATGAGTAGATATTAAGTAATAGTTATTATTATACATAATCTGGCAAATGCAAATATATAAGGTGAATAAGCAGTAATACAGTAATACTTCTCATAATACAGTAGAATAATACAGTAACACTTCTCACCTCTATAATAAGAAGAAGTATCTTGTTCTATGAGCAGCTGCCATACTTTCAGACATGTTTCTGACCTTTAGATAATTAACAAATCCTCTGAAGAAAAGGAGCAGGCCTGAGAAGATTGAAATAATAAGTTCTTAAACATAAGGGGAGTGTGATAAAATAGACAATTACAAATATGATCCTTTTGCTCAAGAAAGTAAATCTGCAAAATTCCAATTATTCTGTATTTTATACTACAATAACTCCATCATGAGAAAATATAATAAAATATATTTAAAATCTTATTGGCAAACATATTCTTTCAATTTTTTATTCCTAACTGTAATATAATTAAAGTAAATCTAGCTATGACAATCCCAAGTCACATAGAACTATACATGTCAGTGGTATCTTTAAATAGCAAAGTTAATGCATTTTAAATTATTCCACTGCTAGAAATTTTACCTTTAATGAAACTTTCCAATTAATATAACTGAGAAAATGACATTTATTTTTAAAGTATTCAGACAGGATGATAGTATACTGATGCTAACAACTAGAACTAAAAAATAACACCTGTCTAGCAATATCAAGTGCCTGTCACCTGTGAAATCTGTATTTGAAAATGGATTTTTAATTATGACTTATTATTCTTAAGGAATAATAAAAGACTAATATATAATAAAAACTGAGGCAAGAGGAGTCAGGAAAGGCATTGGGAGGCAGTAGCTATAGTGATTTATGATTAAAGAGATGAGCTAGCTCTCTCAGCAAAATAATACTTTAAAATAATATCCATTTATATCACATACATTTTTAACAATTTAAAAAGCATGAATGTGAAATACTTCAGAGTTTCAGGTAAGAAATACTAGGTAAATATAAAAGCATTAACATTATTAGTATAAGCCTTTGAAATATTTAAGCATACAAATTCTTAAGGAAATACTTATTGACCCAAGTCAATCTGTAACCAGAAAACTGAGGAGAGAAAACAAAAGCAGAAGGTAACCTCCTTCACCAGGAGAAGTTGTTCTTGTGAATTTAAAATCTCAAGTCCAAAACTCATTTGTACCTTCCCATCAGACAGTAATCAAAGCACTCTAGAAAGAGGCATGTCTTAACAGATTGGGGAGGAAAGCCAGAATATACACATAATGAATGACTAAAGGAAGGAGTGAAGTTTCAGCTAAATCCAAACACACCTGCTTTCAACACCCTGCTCCGGCTACTGGCTAGTCCCTCTCTCTGAATTCCACCCTCATTCCCTTCCAGATGCAGGTCAAAAATAACATTGGCTTTTTCCAAATGTAAAAGTACTGCTGAAAAATATCAACCAAAAATTATTTCTAGGATCCTTTGTTTTGTCTGCAAAGCTGCTAGTTCTTATGGCAGCAGCTTCTACTTGGGCATTTTTTAGAATAAACCAATTCACTTCTTAAAGCCATTGCCCAGTGACTACAGTTTCTTAGCATACTACAATGTACTCAGCATTGTTTTGGGTATGTGAGAGCAATGTTTTTTCTTATTGATTAAATTTGAATATTCTCCTAAGTAAATGCTAGAGCACAGCTCTAATGGAGTGGAACTGCCTTCTGCATTCCACGCTGCCCAGTTATCTTCCTAAAACTCCATTAATACATATAAACAAACATACTCACTAATATGCTTAAATGCTTAAAAGACTTCATAATAGTTTTCAATTTTAGGTAAGTAAAGAATTCAGGAAGTTAGAACGTAACAATACATAAACCTGCTTTGGTTAGCCCTTACACAAATCCGACTCCCCAATGTAGTTACATCAAATTTAACTATATTACAGAAAGAATTTACTGACCTTAAATGACCACCAATTTATTTTCCAAAAAATCCTAAGAAGCCTGGCATCACTAAATGAAAATTTAAAGAGTAGACTGCCACCTAGTGAATGCTATTATCTTCTGGTGAATTACTTCCAATAGAATAAAATTTATTTGTAATGTCAGTAAAGACATTTGAAGCATGAGTTGAAAGTATAATGTGATCTTAAGATTAATTTAATTATCATATATAATTCAAAGTCCATAAAATTCACCAACATTAATAAATAGACATGTCTTACAAGACAACTAGACAGGAGTACTGTGATCATTAGGCATGAAGCTTTTCCCTGCAATGGCTGATTAATGATTAATGCAGGGCAAGCACAAAGAATGCTTCCATGATCCAAAAATAAGAGAAGGCATTGAACACTCAAACTCTCCTACTAACCTAAAATCATTAAACAAAACTATGCATGTGTGTTTTCAAGATACACATTAAAGATAATTATATTTTAATTACACTGAAACTGTCATATTTTGCAGTGTTCACTTATCATCCAACCATTGATTCTTCACATTGATAGACTCTGCTTAATCTAAGAAATCCACAGTGCTACACAGAATAATTGAAAAGCCGAGATAAGGTCTAAATGCAAGAATTTTACTTCAGGAAACTTATTTCCACACAAATAGTAACATAACTTATTTGCATCTTACAACTTTAGGAAATACCAGTTAAGCTGCAATTACTTAAACTGAAATGCAATAAGAATAAGCTTACCAAGTACAAAAAATATCCACCAAAGCCAGTATTGTCCATTGAAATATCCAGTAAAATAATCAGAAAACTACGGAGCAAACAAAAATATATTAATCATATTCAATAACTAAATTTGAACATTGCAGATTATACTGTTTCAGAATAATTAACCTCAAGTAATCTTAAAATAGCATGTAAAAACATCACAAAAGGAAGGTACATGAATAATACTTGATGATATAAATGTATTTGAGAAAACATCTCTTAAGCAATATCAAACTTATGTAAAATTCTTTATAAACAAAAATTTCAAAGGGCTTTTAATAAATGCTTAAATGCTATATATTGGAATCAAACATTTTTCAGTAAAAAGTTCACGTCAGTTCTTTTTTCATAATCTCTCAGAGCTACACCTACCATCCCAAACATACTACAGCCACCTGCTGCTTTGGATATTAACACGAAAAGCCACATTAGTTTAATCTTATCAGAGGGGGTGTTCTGGTGACCTCTAAAAAGAAGAGTTTTTGACCTTCTGTATACCCCCTACTGTTAATCACTGCCAAAAATACTAGGCACACAAAGCCCTCCACCTCATCAGTCTTTTTTATTTTGAAACTAGATGCCTAGCATTCAGCTCCCAACAGTGAGCTGAGAATAGCTAAATAAACCTTGAAGTGGCATTTCAACAGTTGCTATTAGTGGCCATGTTAGATAGTTTAATATTCTGTGTGATGTGGGAGTTTTAACAGGTAGACGGAAGGCAGGGCTTCATAGTACAGGAGATAGGTATCTGTTCATAATTAGACATCACACTTCATTAATCTGAAAAGGCTTTTTAAGTCAATCCCAGTTTTCTTTACCAATAGTAGGTAATTCTTTTTTATTTATCTAGCATTTAAAATTGTCCCCAAATATGTCCTTTTAAGTGTTTCAGATAATCTACTCTAAAAGTTAGAAAAAATTAGCTTGTATTAATTATTTTATTTTAATACTGGTTTCCAAATTGAATCTGAATGACCTAAAATGAATTTGTTAAGTGAGATTTATTCTTGAATTTGAAATTAGTTAAAAGCATTTCCAAGTATTTGTTGGTAATTTCCATAAAAGCTTAAAAATCTATAGCTGGTAACAATAAAAATACAAATCGTACATCGATGTCACAACTTGGGAAGTATATAAAAGAGTATCAAAATGTGTTTTTAAAGTCTAAAGTATTGACTTTGGGGTGACTATATTAATAAATAAGCTATAATCTAAGCTTAGAGTTTTAGAAACTGCAAGGATCTAGAATTTCAAATATTTTGGAATGTACTAAAGATACAGGTTCCATACACTCCCTTCCCATACTTTTAAAAATGTATGTGAGGAGAAACTTGAAAATTGGAAAATTGCAACTCATAAAAAGGACTATACATTGCTACTTTTTAATCAAGTGACTAAAAGTTAGAAATTAAAAGTTTCATACAGGTTTTAAAAGCTACAAGTTTTTTTTTTTAAAGCAAAGAACCAAAACAATACATTTTTAACTTTCTGTGTAAGATGCTTAATAAGAAGAAAGCAGAAAATCGAGAACAGAGTCATTCTCTAAAAATATTTACCATAAAGCTATTTTTTACTTCAAAAGTGAAGAATGTAATAATTTTCACCATAAGGTCAATGAGAAATTTATACTACATTTAAAGGATAGAGGAATAGGTTTTAGATTCATTAGTGGGTTATCAAGAATGTTTTTAAGGGCTGGAGAGATGGCCCAGCAGTTAAAAGCACTGATTGCTCTTGTAGAGGGCCCAGGTTCGATTCCCAAGCACCCACACAGCAGCCAACAACCATCTGTAACTCCAGTTCCAGGGGAATCCAATGTCCTCTTCTGACTTCCATGAGCATTGCATGACACAGGTGCCCTTACATACATGCAGGCAATACACTCATACACAAAAATAAAAATAATTAAAAAAGAATGATCTGAAACACTGAAATCATAGGACTAGGCCAAATTGTTGTTCTGTTTAGTAGACAAATCAATCATGCTGACTGGCCAACCAATTGCAAGCTGCAGAAATCAAATTTTAGAAAATAAATCAACATTAAGAATTGACCCTGTGCCAGCAGAGGCAGGCGGATCTCTGTGAGTTAAAGGCCAGCCTGGTCTAGGTAGCGAGTGCCAGACCAGCTAGAGCAACAGGAGACTGTCTCAAAAAGACCCCCCCCACAAAAAAAAATTGACATTGTTAGCAGGGTGTGATGGTACACAGCCTTTAATTCCAGCACTTGGAAGACAGAGGTAGGTGATCTCTGTGAAATCAAAACCAGCCTGGTCTACGTAGCAAGGCCAGCTGGGGCTACACAAAGACCCTGTCTCAAAAAAATTACCTGATTTTATCTTACTAATAAAATATCAGGACTTTATTATTCATATCCTATCTTCTTTCACACACAACCCTCCCACAAAACATGCATTCAAACAATAAAAACATTAAAACCTTAGGAAGAAGGAATGTCAGAATTCGGAGCTAAACGTATTTAAAGATTTATTTATTTTTGTGTGTTTTGTCTGCATGTATATAATGTATACCACATGCATGCCCAGTGCCCATGGAAGTCAGAAGAGGGCATCAGATCCCCTGGAACTGGAGTTACCAGGCTGTTGTACGCTGGTATGTGGGTGCTAGGAACCAATCCCAGGTCCTATTCCCAACAGCAGTAAATTCTTAACTGTTAAGCAATTGCTCCAAACTAACTAAAGATATTTAAACCAGAGTTTCTACAATAGTTTAGAAACAAAAAGCAAAGCAAAATTATGATTAAAATACTATCATATATATAGAATATATACATTATATATTAATAATATAGGGAAACATCAGATTTTTAGGAGAAAAACCTTTCAACACCAGTCTCTAAGAGGAATTTAGTGTATTAGAGTAAATTTAACATGCAGTGTAGCAGAAGGCAACAATATATAATTAGAGGTCAAAGTAAATTCTAACCCCCTGGAACACAGTGAGTGATAGCTATTGTTATTTTACAGAATGGTTTCTAAAAAATGTTTTTCATGTCAATTCTCAATATACACTAACAGGTTAATATTAGCCTTAACTCAGCAAATGTATTTTAAAAAGAAATTAAACAGCTAGTTTAGAGCTAGTGATTGACCTTGATGTTGGTGTATGGTAGATGCCTTACAAAAACTGAGAAATTCCAGGCTTTGATTTTAAGTTTACTATCTTACCAAATTAATGAAAGTTAATTACTAGATTATCAAATTCTTTCTCAACCTGGCATTCAATGAAAGAACTGGGCTCTAATACCCTGAAGGCATAGGTTAGATACAATGGCTTGACTTTTTCTTTTTTTAAAAAAATATTTTATTATTTTTATTTTATGTGTATGAGTGTATTGCCTGCATGTATGTGAGTGCACCCGTATCATGCAATGCCACAGAGGTCAGAAGAGGGTTTTGGATTCCCCTGGAACTGGAGTTAAGGATGGTTCATAGCTGCCATGTGGGTGCTGGGAATCGAACCCAGGTCCTCTGCAAGAGCAGTCAGAGCTCTTAACTGCTGAGCCATCTCTCCAGCTCCCAGCTTCTTTCTAATGCATTAAAAATGATACTAGTAATTTATCAACTTTAGGAGAATTTTTAAAACAGTCTTGAATCATTTTCTGCATTCTATGATTCTGATGAGCAATTCCATTTAAATAATGATCACAATTCTATCAGTATCATATCCAAGTTTTCACATACTTGGCTACAGCTCTTTTCAAGCTTCTCTAGCAATAGCTTCTACAAGGGCAGGAACTTGTAGCTTTATCTCTGAATGTTTTATAACATCTAACAAAATCAAAAAGTGAATAAATTGATCATATCAACAGTATTAATATTTGTGCAATGGATATTTTTCAATCAATTAGTAATATAGATGCACTATCAAAGTGTCTGAAGCATTTAAAAGAAGATAACACACTTAGGCCAACCTGTGATTCTACTGAAAACTTAAGGGAGATTTAGCTTTTTCAATAAAAAAGCAATGCTTAAGTAATTATAATCTGTACATTTATACACTTTAATTTAGAAATTGTACAAAAGCATTTAAAACTCTGTGGATAACTTTTCAGAAGATTTAATACAACAACAAATAGTCAATCTTGATCATTCGTCTAGGTCTATCCTAAAACACTGTTATTATGCCTGAAATATAGTGATAGCTATTGTTATTTTACAGAAAGATTTTTCAAAAATATTTTTCATATCAGTATCATAATTTGTTACTAACATCAATTTTTTTAACACTGTATCCTAAACCCTAAAAAGATACTAATAAGATAATCTCATCAGGTAAACTTTCATGCCACCAAGCATGAAAGTTCGGAGCCCAGAACCCACACAAGTTCGGACCCCAGAACCCACAAAATATGTGCAGTGTCACACACACACACACACACACACACACACACACACACACACAAATAAATAAAAATAAATAAATAAATGTTTAAAAAGCTAGGAAGAAACATTTGTAAAACGACGCCCTCCCTTCAGGAAGCAAAGGTGATAAACAAACTAGTAGATGATCATGCCTAACAGCACAAATCCTACGCAATTTTTACAGAAAACTAGCTCCTAACAAGAAAAGTTGATGAGTCAGGAAAAAGAAAGGTCCAATTCTTTGTCTCCCTAAATACTATCTTGTACATGATTAGAAATAGCAGAGTTATTTCAGGAACAAGAAAATGAGAAGAATGGCTTAGAAGGAACACATGGGGCAAAAGATGAGTCTTTTATGTATTTTCTTTCCTCTTTTAAAAAATATTTTTAGTTCAAGATAGGGTCTTATGATGCAGCCCAAGCTGGCCTCAAAGTCACAATCTTCCTGCCTTTAAGTGTTGAGTTACAGGTGTTTTACCACCATATTCAGTAAAAAGTTCTCATTGCTACTTCATAGGTCTTTACATTTGAGCTCTCAATGTTTTAAAGAGTGAAAGAAGATATTTTTATTTTTTATTTTTGTTGTTATTGTTTCTTTTTTTTTGAGACAGTCTCCCTGTAACCCCAGCTGTCCTGGAACTCACTATATAGACCAGGCTGGCCTTGAGATCTGCCTGCATTCCCAACTGCTGAGATTAAAGGTGTGCACCACCACGCCAGATTTTTATTTTTATTTTATGTGTATGAGTGTATTGCCTGCATATATGTAGGTACACCAATGCATGCAATGCTCGCAGAGGACAGAGAGGACATTGGATCCCCTGGAACTGAAGTTGAAGACCATTGTTATCCACCATGTGGGTGCTGGGAAGTGAACCCAGGTCCTCTTTCAAGAGCAGCCAGTGCTCTTGACCACTGAGCCATCTCTCCAGCCCTGGTATTTAGTTTTTGAAACATAGTTTTCCAATATTCCTCTCTTGTCATATTTCTAATTATCAAGAGTTCTCAGTCAGACATGAAATACTTTTTAACAAGTCCTTTGCAACCTCTACATTATTCTTGGTGACCTTGATATCTCTTTGACAAACGGGGATATAGAAAAATCACCTTAAAAGACATTGAAACACATGGCTTTTCAAAAGATATTTTTAGTTTTATTTTAGGCCCACATACTACACCACAATAGCAGAAACCATGACTAGCTGAACATATTCTATTTTATATTCTTGTTTATTCTACTGGTACTGTTAAGCACTTGGACAAGGTACCTGGCTTCCCATCCTCAGAAAAATACTGTGAAGCAGCTTTTATCCACTTATTATGAAGAAAATAATGTTCAGGACATTTATACAAAGTGTGAACACTGACACCAAAAAAAGGAATTCAAACTTACCATTTTCCTTTTTTTATTTTAAAAATATTTTTAAATTTTTATTTATTATCTTTATTTTATGTGTATGAGTATACTGTTGCATGTAGACAAGGTACTTAGCTTCCCATCCTCAGAAAAATACTGTGAAGCAGTATGTGCACCCATGTCATGCAATACCCACAGAGGTCAGAAGAGGACGTCGGATCCCCTGGAACTGGAGTTACCATGATGTGGGTACTGGGAATCAAATCCTAGGCCCTCTGTGTCAGTGCTTTTAATGAGCCATCTCTCCAGCCCCACCATTTTCTTATTTTAAAGCTGTTTCCCTATACTAACAATCATTCAGATATAGTTATATATAATCATATCACACCAAAAAATAAAGACGTTTAAGTCTTTAATTAATTGAATTTGTGCATATAAAGCAAACACTGATGAATGGCACAGAAAATGTTATACCTTTCTATTTTAGATATAACACACATGAATTTTCAAGATACTCACCCTGACAATAAGGATCCATTTGATGAGTGAAAGGCCAAATCCACAGATAGCACCATACCTTCCAGCTATGGTGTTGGTGATACAGAAAGATAAGCAAAATCCAAGCCAGTTGAAAATAAATGCCACTAAAAATATCAGAAACAGGGTTTTTAAAGGCCATACGTTGTAAACAAAGTAACAGAAACAGTATTAACAATATTTCACTGCTCAATAAAACAGCAGTTCCTTGTCTTTTAGCTCTCCCAACTGAGCTGTCCTTATAGATAGCTTATCTTTTGTAGATACATCAGTTGCTTCCTATTGATAAGCAAATTGGCAAACTGGGTTTCCTATAAGTTTGGTGAATAGCAAGAAATCAGTTCTTTAAAGCTTATCACCAAAACTACATTTTTATTGACTAATTTAAATTTTTTCATTTTATTTTTAGTAAGCACACAAAACCATCAATTTGGCTTTTCATACATCTGTATTATTATATCTGCTCCTATCTGCACCGTCCCCTCCTTTGTCCTTCCTATCCTCCCTCCTAGTGGTCCCCTTCCTCCTTCAGATATTCCTTCTACTTTCATATCTTTCATATATTTGCACATATATGTATATTTACATACACAGGTTCTGCATGTGACAAAGAACATGAGATACTTGCTTTCTTTCTTCCCTTCCATTATTCTCATTTGAAACATTTTGAGACCAGCTAAAAATCATAACACAATGTAGCTCATGGACTTTGACCTCAAAAGATCAGTCAAACTGCCTTTTTCACAAAAGGAAAGACAAAACAATAAAATATGTCATAACTATTCACAAAGGGAAAGACAAAGAAATAAAATATGTCACAAATGTTTCTAGAGCTGCTTTTAAAAGAACAGGTATAACTCAGATATTCCCTTTCTGGATTTACTGTACTGACAATATTTACTGACAATATATACCTCATCTAAAGGCTATATTAAACAACTTTACATAGGCAAAAAGTTTGTTTTCGATTCACTGTTGTCTCTCTCACCAATTTGAAGAAATGGATCTTTTGACTTGTATATGGTAGTTTCCCCAAATAATTTATGTAATATGCTCAGTGTCATAGTCATTTGAGAAATGCAAATTAAAACCATAATCAGATACCACCAACACATACCCATATCTAAAATTTAAAAATTATCAACAGAAGTTTCTGATGAGAAAACAATAAGAGCTCTCATTGCTGATGGGTCTGCGAAAAAAGTTACAATCACTTTGGAAGGTAGATTGGTAATTGCCTGCAAGTCAGAATTTATATTTCAAAACACGTCTCTAGTTTAAGTTATAAGTAACCAAATTTTTCTTTAAGTTTTCCTTGAGTCTAAATAAGAATGATCTGGGTAATTAACTATAACACAGCATACTATCTGGAGATTCTGACACACATGATGCAAATAGCTGAACCTCGCAAGAAAAGTTTTCTCAATATGGTCCATTATATGTTAAGTACTAGAGTTCAAGGTCATTTCTAGAACCTGTCAATTACCACTGAAACAAGTCTTAATTTCTAGAGTTGAACTGACATACAACTCTATTCTATCCCATTCTGTTTTTAAAAAAGAAATGTATGACAACAGAATATGAGAAGTAAAAACATTATCCATGGATATAGACATTTCTTCCTTTTTATTTTCTGGACTATAGTATGTAATTATACTACTAAATTTAACTGTGAACCTTTCCTAAGGTTATATGAACACTGAAAACAGAAAAGCAAGAATTGGGACCAGAGAGATAGCTCAGTGGTTAAGAGCACTGGCTGCTTTTGCGGAGGACCCAGGTTTGATTCTCAGCACCCACATGGCAGCTGACAACTGTCTGTAACTCCAATTCCAGGAATATTCAATGTCCTCTTTTGACCTCTGTGGGCACTTCATAACATGGGTGCACCTGCCTATATGCAGGCAATATGCTCATATACATAAAAAATTTAAAAATAAATACAAATTTTAAAAAGAAAAGGCAAGAATTAAACCTATAAAAGGTTTTAATTAAAATTCTTATATTTTGTGATTTTGTTAAATAAATACAACCTCAAATGCTTAAGTTACATGCTTTGTTAAAGAATATCTATTTCTAGACCTTTTTACCAACAGTAGCATTTAAGCATGGATTATAAACCAAGTTGCAATTTGAAGAATAACCACTAGATGGTAGTAAATACAAATAAATCTATGTTTATCAAAACAAGCTCTAGGCTTACCAGAAAAAAAAATACGGCAAGAAATAAATGTAGAAACAATTTATAAGACCGAAAGCATAAAAATATCTAACTTATAGAAACATACTTTGATATAATCTTACTAGGATCCAATTTATATTACATCTACCAACACATTTATTTAATTAATATACTATTACTGACCAAAAATAATCTTGTGTGTCTGTTACCAAGCATTTACAACATTTTTAATCAGTGAAATATTTTCAAATCTAAAAGATAAAAATTAAAAGAAAGATATTGGGGTTAAGGGGAAGAATAAGTTCAGAGTTAAATAACTATGCTATCAAATAGCATGGTTCCTAAAAAGGCTATTTATACTATAAGAAATATTCTTACAATCCTTTCTAATCAATATTTCTTTTGGGGGGGGAGGTCATATGTGTATGAGAAGTGTCCATGCATGTACATATGTGTGTTTGCATGTGTGTGGAGTCCAGAAGTTGCCACTGGTGTCTTCTTCTGTTACTCTCCACTTTATTTCTTGAGGCAAGGTCTCTCAATTGAACCCAGAGCTTGCAGATTAGCTAGCCTAGCTTGCTCCTGTCTCTTCCTCCCAAGTGCTGGAATTAAGGCAGCTCAGCTTCTACATGCGTTCAGGGGATACAAAGTCATCTTCACACAGGTATGGCAAGTGCTTGAGCCACTGAGCCATTTGCCAGTCACAAGATTTCTTCAAAGACTCAACCATGAAAGGAATTAATGATTAACATATTCTTTATACAAACAAAGAATTTCATATTCATATAAGAGTTGAATGAAATATACAAGTTGAATGAAAAACTAAGATTAAAATCTAAGGTGTTTAAAAAGAGCAATTACCTGGCCAAAGATTCGCTGCCTTTTCATTCTATCTAATAAAGCCAACTAATTTATTAAAAAAATGTATATAGGGCCGGGCGTGGTGGCACATGCCTTTAATCCCAGCACTTGGGATGCAGAGGCAGGTGGAGCTCTGTGAGTTCGAGGCCAGCCTGGTCTCCATAGTGCATCCAGGACAGCTGGGGCTACAGGGAGACCCTGTCTCAAAAAAACCAAAAAAAAAAAAAAAAAATTTGTATAAATATTGCATATACTGGATGACAATCTGAATTAAGTAAATTTGGAAGAAATAAGCTGCCTGCCCTCCTCTCCTTACTCATCCATTTTTCTTGTTCAGTAGATGGAATATAAAGAAACCATTTCAAAATGGGAAAAAAAGATGTCAAACCTCTAGACTAGACTAAAAAGTAGTGCAACAATGAAGTATGATCTTGTGGTTTTGAAGTTGAATGTGACACTTAAAGTTTTATCAGTAACATGAACCATACAATTAAAATGAACTAAATCAGCATTCTATTCACGAAGGTATGAAAGCTTGATCATTTAACCAGGTTGAGTACAGAAATTTACCATAAATAAGTTTTTCCTGAATATTAGGTTTCTACGATTGGTTTTAGCCATTTAAACAACATGGCGAGTATCTTAGTATTTATCAATGAGTTCAATAATAGTAATCCATGTTGGGAACTGAAATAACAAACAGTATGAAACAGTTGTCTCTCAGAGTTTAATATATAAATCAAATATATTAAATTTAATATATAAATCAAATAAATATAAATCAAATAAATTAAAAAATTTGCAAGATGTGCAAAATATTTAGGATTTTAGTCTTCTAACTGTACCATTCCCCAAAGTAAGGCCTATACATCTACACACTGCTTTAGCTATCAAGAATATTCCCATCTCCAAATCTTCTGGCTTTAAGGCCACATAAAGAGAAGTTTTTTGCCCCCAAAGCAGAATAAATAGGTTCACTGTATATGTACAGCCTTGAATGACCAACATTTCACTTATAAGTTCTTATTCAGCTTTTCTCTTAACAGTATCTCATTTTGCTTAAATATGCTTTTATACCTCTATGGTCAGTATCTACCATAATGGCTGGAATGCAGAATTACCTAACAAATGCTTAATAAACTCTAGAATTTGTATACATTACGCCACCATCTTGAACAATTCACTTTAAATGAGGGTGACCCATCTTAGTATTTCTTCACTATGTTACTTTAAATATACACAAAAACAATGTTTAAAGAAAAAAAAGTGGGAAAGATCACTTACTGAAAAACGCCAGCATGAAAATGCCATCATTGCCCACTCTAAGCTGGTCGGCATCGCTGAAGTCATCTCTTGGTGGACACTCTTCCTCCTGGTTCTGTAAAATACATACCAGAACATCTCACCAAAATAATAATTTTAACATCTTCAATTAAGAGTAAGAACTTCAATAGGATGTAATGTTCTCCATTGGTGGTACAGATAAAATAACAAAATGAGCAGTGTCTGGCACAGAATACTCCAAACGCATTCACAAATATACTTTATCAGAGGTGCATTGAGAAGAATAAAGGTAAACACAAAACAAGGTAAGTTGAGGGCTGAGGAAATGGCTCAGTAGGCTAAATGCCAGCCATGCAAGTATGAAGACCTGAGTTTGCATCCCCAAAACCCATGTAAAAAGCCTGCCACGGTGGGGTGTGGTGATGCCTTTAATCCCAGCACATGGGAAGCAGAGGTAGGTGGATCTCAGTGAGTCTGAGGAAGTTCCAGGCCAGCTAGAGCTACAGAGAAACCCTCCCTCAAAAGACCGAGAAAAAAAAAGGCAACTCCAGTGTTGCACAGTAGGGTGGACACAGGCGGAACCCTGAAGCTCACTGGTCAGTCAATCTATCCAAATCTGGTTTGGGGAGACACTATGCCTCAGAAAAAATAAAGGTAAAGACACCCAAGATCCATATGCCTCCATATGTGCACATACATATGCATGCAAGTACATATGTGTATACCCACACTAAATACACATCCCCACACACCTGCAAACCCCCACACTAACACGTACAAACACACACACACACAGACACACAGACACACACAGACACACACACACACACACACACACACACACACCCCACAGAGTAAGTTAACATCAAATTCAAAATTCAAGAAAATGGTACAAAGAAGATAGATGTGATACCATTGTATTAATGTCAAATGGGAAAACAGAAATTTCCATAGTCAGTGGAGGAATACAAATTACTATAACCTCTGGCTAGCAAATTTGACAATACCTATCAAAAATAAAAATATACCCTCTGATTCACCAATTTCAGTTAAGATGTACACGCACACACACACACGCACACACACACACACACATTAAAAATGAAATATAAAGGAAAACTCATTATAGAGATATTAGTAAGACCAACAGACTGACTCAATTGAAATGTCCACTGATAGTGGACTGTGTTGAGAGGTAACTCTGCATGTCTCTATGTTTGGGCATGTTTTCCAAAGAGAAATACTAGTTACCTTTTTCAGGATGTCTATAATTCCCTAGTAGCACAATGGTGTGAATATATTTATTGACCATTAGTAAAGATGAGGAACCCCTTACTAACATAACCCACAGTATGTAGAGATTATCACCTAGCCCCTGCTGTTGCCCTGTGGGAACAGGGACTTGAGGAACTAGTAGGACTAAGGCCACTGCTACTGCTATGAATCATGAAGTCTCTGCCTCTGACAAAGCAGCCTTATGCCTTTTTCCCCAGCATCCACGAAACTAACAGTCGGTAAGCCGAGTCTGAGTTCAAACTCAAGACAGTTTTTGACAGACCTGTTTAAAAAAAATTATTGGTATCTATACTATGAAGCTTAAAAAAAAAAAAAAGTGTAAAAAAATTTATGTCCACTCTCCAACCCACAGGCCTCTCTCGGGGTAAGTCTATCCTGCCCTGCGTGCCTTGAACCCTATCCTCATTCACCCTCCCATCTCCCCTGCCTGTCTCCCCTCCTAGCCTGGGTCCTGTCCCATTCCTTCTCTTGGCGCCCCAGACACCTGGGGAACTACCACTGCTTCTTCCTGATCCTTTGCATCCAGACAAACCCAGTTACTTCTTATGTCCCAAGGAGCATGCAGAGCCTGGCCCCACCCTTACCTCCCTCTACCTCCCCATGACCTGCAACCCTCTTTTTTGAACAGCAGGGCTAACCTTTCCTCTTCCTGGTCCTTTGCATCCAGACCAACCCAGCTCTTCAGTGCAGTCCCAAGGAGCCACTGAGGCTGCTCCCTGGCCCCATTTTCCTTGGCATCTCTGGGTGGCATGGCCAACAGCTGCTCTAGACCAGCGTATTTTCTGGGCCCAGTTCCCAGGCCAGTCAAACCCCCAAATTCCTGAGGCCAAAATCTATCCTGGGGGGATCCAGACTTTAGGAGAAAGCCTGAGAGCATCTGATCCTCATCTGACTTGAGCCTCTGTGGGAAGCCCTGAAGACAAAAGCAATCTGGCCACTCCAATATAAAATCAAAAGAGAACTGGAAGCTTAGAGGAACCAGCTTTTCATGCCCAAAAAGTAAACCACAAAGACACATAAAGTTCACAAAAACAAGCAGACCTAAACTGGAAGGCTTGAGTCTCACACAAGAATCATAAACTACAAAAGAAATTCACATGTCAAAATCACAGAGAAAGAATAATAACATGAAAGAAAGAAAAAAAAAAACCATATTGCCACCAAATACCAATAGTCCTCTAGAGGAGTACAGTGAGAATTCCCTAGAGATAATGCAGGACATGGAACTCAAAAGAACAGTTATAAACATGATAAAAGAATTCAGTGAATTTCAAGAACTCACAAAGATATCAAAGAACTTAAGGAAGATAGGGATAAACTTCTGAATGAATTCAGAAGAGTTAGAAATATTGAAGAATACTCAGGCTGAAATGAAGAAGGAAGTGAAACACTCAGTAAGCCAATTAGAAACGACAGGAGAAAGCCTCACCAATAGGATAAATGAAACAGAAAACAGAGTATCAAGACTGAAAGATAAAGCGGATGAACTAGACCACTCAAGCAAACATTATGAAAAATTTAAGAAATCACAAGAATGGAATATGCAGGAATTGTGTGACACCATAAAATTACCAAACTAACGAATCATAGGCATAAAGGAAAAAGAAGAATCCCAAGATAATGCCATGGACCAGATTTTCAACAGAATAGTGGAAGAAATTTCCCCAAATTAAAGAAAGACATGCCCATACAAATACAAAAAGCATA